AGCCCAGGCTGGCCTCGAACTCACAGAGATCCACCTGGCTCTGCCTCCCGAGTGCTGGGATTAAAGGCGTGCGCCACCACCGCCCGGCTAAAGATACTCTTTTTAAAAATCCTGTAACACTGATGGCAGAGGAAGCCCACCGATCCCATCATATGCAGTACACCTGTAGATCACTGGGTCAGGTCGCTGTGTTGCCACTCAGGGCACTCAGGTTCCTTCCACCTAGACCAACCTATTATTCCTCAGATCAACTCCTAGGTCTCTAGGAAGAGAAGCCGCTCTGAGACGACTGCCTTGACGGGAGCCTGTTACTGCCATCACCTTAGCAGTCCTTTCGGGGGTTGGAGCAGCAGGAAACAGGCACAGGAATTGCCTCTCTGGTCCTGTCCAACCAACATTAATCTGAACTTCGACTGTCCATAGATGAGGATATTGCCCAATTTGAACAGGGGATTTCTGCCCTCAAGTCATCCCTTTCCTCCCTAGCTGAGATAGTTTTACAGAACAGGAGAGGCCTGGATCTCCTCTTTTGACAACAGGGTGGCCTTTATACTGCGCCCAAAGAGAATGTTACTTCTTTACAGACCACACCAAGGTAGTCACGGACAGTATGGTAAAGGTTAGAAAAGGACTAGAAAAAGAGAAAAAGAAAAGGAGAACAAGAGCTTGGGTGGTTCTAGAATTGGTTTTTCACCTTCCCTTGGCTAACGACTCTTCTTTCCTCCCTCCTAGGACCTGTTGTAGGTCTGCTCCTGGTCCTTGCCTTTGGGTCACGGGCACTTTCCTGGCTCACTTGGTTCATTCAAAGCCAAATAACAGACCTGAGGGCCAGGCATATCCAGGTTCATTACCACCACCTTGATATGCAGGACTCCAGGGTTGAAATTTCCCGATGAGAGATGCCCCACACAGACCCATTCACTCGGGGGAGGCTGCACCTGTGTGTGGGAAAAGGGCTCACTTAAGGCATGATTGGAGTGCAGCTGGGACTGCACAGGCTGGGGACCATGGTACCCCAAAATCCCGAGAGCCTGGATTATATGCCCTGTTGCATAGCGGTTGTGCAGTAGCAGCCTTGTGCTTACCCATTTCCGCTCCCTCAAAAAACTGCACGGTCCATTGATTCCTGCACTATGGGGATGCCCGTGGTGCTTGAGTCTGGAGAGACATTCCCTCTGGGACCTTTTTTCACAACCTTAAGAGGAACAGGGCCTCTGTAATCCTCCATGCAAAGACTCTTTCAGAGCCCTCCTTTTAGACCATTTGAACCTGGTTTATGTTGGCCCTTAGACTTATTACTAAGAAGGGGGAGATGTCAGAGACAAGGACAGAATCTCTAATTAGTGGAAAAATACAGACCCCCGATAAGACAGGGAACTAGATCATCTTACAGTCAGGTTGCCTAGCAACAGGACATTGAGTCAGAGCCCTTGACCCTTTCACCCTGTAAACATCCTATACAAACATCCTGTTAGCTTGCCCCACCCTATGCAGATAACAGCTTCCTGCTCCCCCTACCCTGCAGGAACTATATGAACCCTCCTGGAGAAAAATAAAGTTGCACCTTGATCAGAATCTTGACTTGGTTTATTCCTTTGTATCTCCTGTCCCTATCATTCTGTCCTTAGGGTGGTCGAGAACCCATTGAAGCCCTGCTGGTTGGGGCAGGCCTTAATTTAGTGAATTTAATACAATATCTCTCATATTATTGAGATAATACCTTGTAGTCATTTTATTGATTTTGTCATTTTATTCAGAATCCATTGCTTGCCTTGGGTTCTAATTCAATAGAGTAAGAAATCCTGAGTATTTGCACTTAATATTTTGAGTATGTTCTCTGTTCATTTGGAACCTCTAGCTTGCCCCTGCGTGATGTGAAAAACCCCATTGCTGCCTCTCCCAAGTCCTGTCCCACACAGTATTGGTGAAATTATTATGGCCACTCCACGTAGTTAAAAGGATATTTATTTAATGGCGTAACTCACAAATTAAGGAATAGGTAGGTCGCAGGGTCTGAGGAAGGTGTATCACAGTCCAGCGGTATTCTCTGGAGCTCTGCTTGGTCCACCTCCACCGTTCTGTATCCCGGCCCCGAAAGAGCCCTCACCTATTGCTGTGGGATGGTCTGTATGCCAAATTGCTCTGATTGGTCAATAAATAAAACACTGATTGGCCAGTGGCCAGACAGGAAGTAGTTGGGACAGGGAGAGAGAAGAATTCTGAAAAGCAGGAGGCTGAGGTAGAGAGACACTGCCAGCCGCCACCATGACAAGCCGCATGTGAAGACACCGGTAAGCCCCAAGCCACGTGGCAAGGTATAGATTTATGGAAAGGGATTAATTTAAGCTATAAGAACAGTTAGCAAGAAGCCTACCATGGCCATACAGTTTGTAAGCAATATAAGTCTCTGTGTTTACTTGGCTGGGTCTGAGTGGCTGTGGGACTGGCGGGTGACAGAGATTTGTCCTGACTGTGGGCAAGGCAGGAAAACTCTAGCTACAGCCCATCCAGCTCTCTGGTGTCCAGGCACCTCCCCTGGGCCCGCCTCATAGGCATGACAGTTGCCAGAGTCTCAATGGGGGTTGGTACTTCCAGATCCAAGCTGGAATGGCTACCCACTACAACACAGAGCCTTTTCAAATAAAGGGAAGGCACCAAAAGGACCAGTTCTGCATCCTTGGTGTCTTTGGCAGCTTCCTCCCCTGAAGTTTCCAGCTACTCAAGTCCCTCCCTAAAGTGTTCAGCTTTTGACCATCCTTGGGCACAAGTGCACCTTGTATGTAAAGATGTCATTACCTTGCTTATAATCTATATAATCTCCCTGCTTTCATTCAGACTTGCAGCTTCTCTGTCCTTAATATCTGGAACTGGAGAACCTGCCAGTGAGTTCCTTTGCTCAAATAAACCTTTTGTTATACTTTTTCAATTCAGCTTGATCTGGTTTACTGTGTCGATAAAAAAAATGCTATTATTGGGCGACTGAAAAAATCTATTTTTCTCAATTAAAACTAACTTTTAAAACACTCAATTAGGGGATTCAATTAATTCAATGTGAAAAAATAGTAACATTTTCTGAAATAAATTTCCTTTAGATAGAACGTGAAATTGCAGCCAAACTTTAATAAAAATACTCCTTTAAAATCAAGCAACTTTTACAAAGTTTTGTCTGTAAACCTACCTTTGTTTTGGGTAGTTTGCCAGAAATGTGTGTTGCATCGATATAAAGCACACAGGTATTTGTTTACCCAGTGTCTGGTAGTTTTCATTTTCCCCTTTTTCACATCAACTTCTCAGCAAGGTAGTTACAGTAGCTGGGGTGCCTGTATAAACTCAGTACAGTGCAACAATCTCAATCTATAAACTCATATCCATAGGCAGAAACTCTAAGGTAACTACTGTGTCACAGCATGTGAAGCACTCTTTTACAACACAGTGATACACATCAATCTCTTTTTAAATAGCCAACAATAACCACTAAAAACAGCATGCACTCATTCTCTGAAATTCTCCTTGGACACAAAAGTACTTTGATTCCCACTAACCTGAACCTTCTCATTACATTCTAGTACTTAGGGTATGCATCAACACACTTAATGTATTTTTTCTTTCATTTTTTTTTTACATCAGGTAACCAAGGTACAATTTACTAATGATTTCCTGAATTTTTTCTTTTTTTTTTAATTTATGGTTTGAGGCTATTTGCATGGCAGTCATTTAGCAAATTAATGTAGACGAAAGCAATAATTTTACAGATGTTTATTGCAATCATGCTGTCATCCCATACTTAAAATGCTAATCTATTGACATCTATTCATTAAAGATGAGCTTCACTTATTTTGTAACATTAGTAATTTATGACCTGGGGTGTTTTAAAGTAGTCTGAAAGTCAGAATTTTAAGCATCCCTTTCAGAATAGATTTTAAAGAGTAAATGTGTTTGATTCTTTATTGCACTGAGATTATGCCTCCCTCAGCTGCCATTATAAAGCCTTTGACAGAATCTTTGCATCAGTATAAATAGCAGTACAGATGAATTGCTTATATTAATGTTATGTTTCCATCATAAGTCTAGATATCTAGTACGGAAAAGGGAGCCTTCATTTGATTGCCAAAATCCTCAGCATTGTCAAGAGTCAAATCATACCAGGAAAAGGTTTGTAATAGGACACAAAAATGATAAGGATATGTCAGTAGTGGGATTACAACCCACCTCTCCATTTGGAGACCAGAATCTTTGGCTCAGGGAAAGAAAGGTTAAGGCAACAGTCTTAGACACTCATATCTTGAATGGTCACTCTAATGTGGAGGATAGTGACTGGATGTCTATGATTGGTGTTTCTTTTTTTTTTCAGTTCTTTATGTATTCTAAATAAATTAATCTGTTCACAGTAGAGTGCCTGCTTTCATCTACATTTATTTCCTAAATGACTGCCATGAAAATAGCCCCAAACCATAAATAAAAATGAGAGAATTCAGAAATCATTAGTAAATTGGACCTTGGCTACCTAATGTAAATATTTATACATATATTACATTTTAATTTATTTTATTATATGTATATATACATTTTTAGGGCTTTTCTTTACTTTGTTAATTGTTCAAAACACTCAGTCATCAGGCAAATGCAAATCAAAACTATATTGACATTCTATCTCAACCCATCAGCCACAATGCCTGCCAACAAGAAAGAAAATAAGTGTTGGTGAGAATACCAGGGAAAGGAACCTTCTACACTGCTGATATGAACATATGTTAGTATAGTAATGGTGGAAATATTATAGAATTTCCTGAGAAACTAAAATGGGAACTAAGTTATGTTCTACCCACACCACGCCTGAATGTATACTCAGTGGAGTCTGAGGAAGTGCACAACAGAAATGCACCTACACCCCTGCAGTGGCAGTATTCACTATAGTCAAGTTATGGAACTTGTGTAGGTGTTCACATATTGACTGATGTTGTACATATCATATATATACACAATGAAGTTTTATACAGTCGGAAAAATGAAATGGCGGGTGCTGGGATGATGGCTCAGCAGTTAAGCAAACGTTTGTGCTGCTCTTGCAGCTGACCCAGGTTGACTTCTCCGCACCCATATGATGACACTTACATGTCTATAATTTCAGTAATAGGGGATCTGATGCCCTCTTCTGACCTCTATGAGCGCCCATGTACATGTGGTAAATACGAACTCATGCAAGTATATACATATATAATTAAAAAGAAAAAATAACTATATGTTTAAAGGAAATAGATTTTGTTAATTTTACTAAAATAGATTGAACTGAACATCATCACATTCAGGAAAATAAGTCAGACTAAAGAACTAAGACAAACATTACAAATTTCCTCTCACAGCTGGATTTTAAAAATACAATGGTAAGAAAGTAGAAGGAAAACTTTTGTGGAAGAGAATTAGGAAACATTGGAAAGGAAAGACAAAGGGGAAAACAAAGCTGAAAGATGATCACAGCCTATTGCAGTCATGAATGAATGAGTCCTAATGAATCCCAACCATTCTGTGCAGTATTACATGTTAATAAAAATGAAAAAGTAATATCACCAAGAGTGAGACTGCCTGGAGCCACTGCCAGGACAAGCAATATGTAAGGTACCAGTAAGCCACGAGCCATGTGGCAAAGTGTAGATTAATAGAAATGGGCTAATTATAAGAGTAAGAGCTAGACAATGACAGGCCTGAGCTAATGGCCAAGCAGTTTAAATAATGTAAGCCTCTATGTTGTTATTTTATAAGAGGGCTCCGGGACTGGCAGGACTTGGTGGGACCCGGGGAGAAACACTCTCCAGCTATACTGTACATTAGGTATTTAGAGGAAAACTTTTCTTTGGCATGAAACAATGGTTCTCCTCTCTGTTACTCCCACCTATACTTCCTGTCTGGCTACCAGTCAATCAGTGTTTATTTATACAGAGCATTATCCACAGCAGTACAGTACTGACAGAATTACGTATGAGATGTTTATGTTGGACAGTCTAGTATTTAAGTTATGCTTGAGAACTTCATTAAGAATCCTTGCATTGATTTCATATTTATCCTTTTTCTTATCTGTAATAAATTCACAAATTTAAAAATCTATTTATTAAAAATTAAATGGGCCGGGCGGTGGTGGCGCACGCCTTTAATCCCAGCACTTGGGAGGCAGAGGCAGGTGGATCTCTGTGAGTTCGAGGCCAGCCTGGGCTACCAAGTG